ATATAAAATAGACAATCTGTCAATTCTTCATCTGCAAGGTCATCAGTTCAAGCACAGTAGGTCATCTCATAGAACTAGATCACAACTAGTTCTTTGGTTAACTAGTTCTTCAGGACACCAAATCTGCAACAGACTGCAATGGCTAATCTGCAATATCAACAACAACAAGAAAGGCATTTGAGATATGAGAGAGAACGGATTGAGCTATTGGCAAAAGAAGTAGAGCTTCAGGAGAGACTATCTCGGGCATTACATGCAAGAACTAGTTCCCACTCTTAAACTAATTCCATTTGATCTTTCAGTATTTACTATTTAAAGAGAGAATTAAGAAAAAAGAAGAAAAAAGAAGAATTCTTTTTTTTAATGAAATTACTCCTCATCCTCACTTTCATCAGACTCCTCTTCTTGGTCACCACCATTAAAAAGTGCAAAGTGCTCACACTCCTCATACTTGCAGCACACTGGTAGAATGAGTTAGTCAGTAATTCAGGATCAGTAAGTAATCATTATTTACAATTAGCCTTGCCTGCATCCTTGCAACCCTCACAAGGGACCACATGGCCCATGCGGCGGACCAGACGTCTCATCTCAGTCATGTGGACCTAGAACTAGTTAGTAACCAGTTATTGTAAAGAGGGAGAACTAGTTCTCTTACATCACCATCACGGCGGCGTGGAAGAGGGGGGAGGGCAGGGGCAGACTGTTTGGCATCATATTTCTTGATCACCGCCTCATAGAATTCTGGAACTAGTTAGTAACTAGTTTTCTGAATTGGAACTTAGTTAACTTACTGACTGCTGCAGACTCTGCCTCTTGGTCAGGGCGCCCACCACTTTCACCGTCCAACAAGTCATACGTATGGGTATGCTTCGTTCGAATATGCTTCTTGAGATTGTTGAGGGAGACAAACTTGGTCTGGTTCAATTCATTCCATCAGCAACTAGTTATTAACTAGTATCAGTAAACTAGTTCTCACCACATTTTCACATCTTTGAGCACGGCAATAGACCTCCCCGACAAACGGCACCAGGTAACCCATAGACTAAAACGCAGAACTAGTTAATAAGTAGTTCTGTTTCCTAAACTGCATTCATATTTTTACTGTAACCTCAAAATCCGGTAGATCCAGCTTTTCCTTGCCCAGCTCAACGTATCGCTTATATGCCTCCTAAAAATGCTGAAATGTTAGTCTGATTCCAACCAAACAACTAGTTCCGGTTGAAAACTAGTTCCAAACTAGATCATAACTTTAACTCATATTCGCCTTCACTCTCGCCATTCTGGATTGTCGGATTTGCAGAGCCTAGAGAAGTAGTAATTAGACAGATGTAGAGAAATAGAGAGAAGTAAAGAAGTAGAGGGAAGTAGTAAAAGCAAGGTGAGAAGGAAAAGATATAAAGAACTAGTTATAATTTTGTAAGGTATTGAAAATTTTTGGCTTACCTTTTGTGGGGTGGGGTAAGGTCACATCACATGACTCAATTCAGGGTAAGCTGGGCTCAAGGGTCGGGTCAGCTGAACTGTATTCACTATCTAGCCCTGTAAAATCACGTGCCAAAGCGGGCACTGACGTTGCCTCCGTAGATAGCGGCCCAGCATTGATCTCCAAAAGGGACAAATTCAACGACCAACAGTCAGGAAGCAATAGAATCCAAAATGAATCGACTATTCGGGGCAAAGAACACGACACCAAAGCCGACGCTCGATGGGGCCATTTCAAATGTACGCGCTTCCCTTCCCCCCCTCTGTTGTTGACAGTCCGCTAACGAACCCCCGACGGTAAACAGGTAGACAACCGCATCTCCAGCCTCGACGTAAAACTCGCCTCCCTAAACTCCGAACTCTCAACCTACCAAGCCAAAATCTCCAAGATGCGCGACGGCCCGGGCAAAAACGCCCTCCGCCAAAAAGCCCTCAAAGTCCTGCAACGCCGCAAACAATTCGAAGCGCAGCGCGACCAGCTCTCGCAGCAGTCCTGGAATATGGAGCAGGCGGGGATGATGCAGGATAATCTGAAGAATACGATGACGACGGTGGATGCGATGAAGACGACGACGAAGACGCTGAAGAAGCAGTATGGGAAGGTGGATATTGATCAGATTGAGAGGTTGCAGGATGAGATGGCGGATTTGATGGATGTGGGGAATGAGATTCAGGAGAGTCTTTCGAGGGCATATGATGTGCCTGAGGATGTGGATGAAGCGGACTTGGATGCGGAGTTGGAGGCGTTAGGGGAGGAGACGATGTTTGAGAGTTCGATGGGGGAGAGTGCTATGCCTGGCTTCTTGCAGGATGAGGTTGCGCCGCCGCAGTTTGTTGATGAGCCGCCGGAGGAGGCGAAGGTGAAGGAACCTGCTGGCGGGGCAGCATGAGAAGGTTATCAATTGCATACGAGACTTATGATGAGTGTTATGAGCAAGGCTATGGAGTTTCGGCATGTTGTATTGTTTCTTTGAATTGTTTGGGATGTCTATCTAGTCTTCTGTTCACGATTGCTTTGACTGCATGTTTACACTTCCGGTTGTTTGATTGCCTAGAGGTTATTGGCTTTTCTTGTGCGTTTTTGTTTAAGATGCTTTGCCCATTCCGATTAGAACCAGCAAAGCTACGTTCATGACTGCAATAATCAGCCAGATAAGGACGCCAAGAATACACACGAAGATATTATTTCTCATTCCCACTCCCTCAGGCTGGGGATGGCCTTCGCCATGAGCAGCTCGATCCATAGGGACGGTCATGTATCGGTTCCGGCAGGTAAAGTAGATCAGAGGCGCAGTAACAAACGGAAGGATGACACTTAGCACCACTTGACTTGCGTTCAGGGTCTTATCCAACCCTTTCTTGCCTACCGCCGCAGCGATGATAATGCTAGGAATGATACTGATCGAGCGGGTGATGACCCTCCGGAGCCAGGGCCGGATACTCCAGTTCAGCATACCCTCACTGACCATCTGTCCGGCCATGGTGCACACAATTCCCGCTGAGATACCGGAGAGAAGCAGAGCCAGGGCAAAAATCAACCCCGCAGCAGGAGCGATAGAGTTGGAGAGCAAATCATGAATTCCCCAAAGGTCAGCCTCGTCAGCTCCGGGCTTCCCGTATAGCGAGGCACCTGCGACTATGAGGATGGCGCTATTGACAAAGAGCGCAAATGTAAAAAGCGACAATGTCAGTTCAATGATGGAATACTTCATGCAGCTTCGGATTGCCGCAAATGAGGGGCGATATTCCACCTCTCCGCCATTGCTTCCTAATGGAACTGAAGCATCAACATAGCCTTGTGTCACATCAAAATCCTTCAGACGCGCTTGGACAACGCCACTCCCCAAAAACAAAGAATGTGGCATCACCGTAGCCCCGAGGATGCCACAACTCTGGTAGAGACTATTCCCGGATCCCGTTAGCGATAATCTTGCTTCGATGCATGTTATGGGGCGGTGGAAACTAACCCTTGTGACTGGACCACGGCAGGAGATGGCACATAACCTCTAAGCACATGTCCAACAGATTGATCCTCGATCAGGGCGAGTTGAATGCAAAAGCAGACCACGACCCCGAGCACCAAAGCCATAACAAAGAATTCGAACAACCGTAAGCCCCACATGGCACCATTAGGCCTGTAGAATATAAGAAGGAAAAGCACGTCCGCAAGTGTAATTGCACATCCTGCTACCAACGGGATATTGAGAAGAAGATTAAGCGCAATGGCTGATCCAATGACCTATGGCTTGTCAGTAAAGTGACAGGATTGGCAATAAGTATATTTTGATATACCATACCTCTGCAATATCAGTAGCAACAATAGCAGCCTCTGAGAAGATATAGAGGATGATAACCATCCATTTTGGAAGATGTTCTTTGCAATTCTCCGCCAGATTCAACCCAGTCACCGTTCCCAGTTTGACACACAATGATTGCAGATAAACGGCGAACAGATTGGAAACCAGAACAATGAAGAGCAAGGCATATTGGTACTGGGCACCGGCGGCAACGTCGGTGGAATAGTTTCCCGGATCGATATAAGCCACGGCGACCAGAAAACCTGGGCCCACGAAGCGGGAAAACTTGACTATACTTCGAATGACATCTTGAAAACAAGATGAGATGGAAAAGTTGGAGATTTTCTTGTAGAAAGGACGGCGAGGTGATCCGCTGTCCGTCTCGGGCTGTTGTTCACAGGGCCCAGAGGCGGCAGCGGTCACATCGCCGGCGGTCTTTTCTTTCTCAGGATCTGTCTTGCTCCGCTGTTGAATGTGAGATTTAATCACCATTGTTCCCTCTCCAGGAGTACCTCCTACCCCGGACGCATGTTTCCTATGGACCTTCGAGTTGGCGATGCCGTTGAAGTCGTTCCGTGTGGTAATATCGGGGTTCAAAGGAGACGGGTTCTGGTTCCAGTCGGGATGTTCGAGGGTCTCGTCGGTTCTCGAGGGGCAATTCATCGTGTCAGAATTGGCGGCTGTCTTTTTCTATCCTCTTTCAACGAGATGGTTGTCTTTTCAGTACCGGAATTTAACGTTAGCTGTAGAATCGAATTGACGCAGGCAGGCTTAACCGGCTTCGCAGCGCACCCTGCGGGACAGAATGCCCGAAACTTCCCGATTGCGGAGGATTAATTGCTAAATGGGTGGCAACCCACGATTGTGGTTAATCTCAGGTCGAGAAATCGGAATTGAACTCAGCAGCGACACAATTGTTCTTTTTTCTTATTTTCTTGGGGAGCAAATGGTGCTTGCGATGGGGAATCGGCGTGGAGACAAGCGTCACAGAGATATAAGAGTTAATGGAGTAGCTAACCGTGGCGGGCATAGTGCACTTTTGGCATCATCGTTGGCGAGTACAGGCACTGCATCAGGTCTGCCGGTGCAATCCATGTTAATTGGATCATGGCGAGGATTTTTTTTAGCCATACAATTGAAGAGAAAAAGACAATTGAGTGAAGAATATGAAAACAGAGACGGTAGGATGTAATAGAAAACATAGAAAATAACCGTGCCAAGTCTGGGCTGAGAGGGGCGTTGCATCTTGGCAGGTACTCTATGAAGACGACAGTTTGTATACAGCACCAAAATAAGCACCTTTGTATAATCTCAAGGAATTCCTTTTTTTATTTTCCATTTCCAATGGAATTGAACCAGAGTCAACGTGTATCGAACTGACCCACTCTAGAGAAGGCCTATATACAATAAGGAACGAATCCTCGAGATCCAATCTGAGAAATGGATTGAAATCACAAGTCTCCGTGGAAGGAAAGTTGAGCCAAGGGACAGTCATTATCTCCTGCAGATCTGTGCCAGACGAACTCATCGCAAAGTGCAATTGAGGGTCAATGCCAAGCAGGCAAGGTCTAGCAAGAGTGATTTCTTCAATGTTGAAATAGGATTGAACAGACTAGCCAGCAACAAATAGTATGTATAGGATGTCACCAGCATGTTGTACTTGACGATGCATCGTGAGAAGTTGCCACAGGTGATCGAGGTCGGTGAGAGATGGCGAGAAATGGCACATGCTAGATGGGAGTACTCAAGGAGTTCATCAGTGTTGTGGTTCTTTTTCCAACGGCCCAGTGACAAGCCCCTGACAATTGGCAATTCTGACGTGTCAATGTGGGAATTATGGTTATGACCATAGGCCCCGCATACTGAGCTGTCAGCACAAGTTGAAGCCAAAGACATGGAGTATGCCGGTCTAGTTCAAGAGAAAAGTAAAGTACACAGGAGGGCGAACCCGGACGCCTCAACAGCTGACCGATCATGTGAGAACTCGCATCACGCTAATGTTGGTATTCCATACTCTGTACTCAGTGGAAGAAGACCAAAGATGGCAATCAATCGGTATACCAGATCGAGTGGGATACAGCACCCAAGGCACCGATAGACGCCATGACCACACACAAAACTGGATTAATTCCAATCAGGATAAAGAGGTATGCATACAAGTACAGCAACAAGACCATTTTAAGAAAGTAATTGAGAAATTCTCCGCTGTAACCGTCCAGAATGCAGTCATCTTGCAGAAAACGCCCACTTAGCCAGCCATCAAACGGTGCGTTGCCCCCAGCAACGGCCGGGTGTTTACTCCGTACTCGCGACGTGCAACGCCGGCGGATCTCCTCAGGTGCCCCTCGACGATGAAAAGGTTCAAAAGTCTCTGAGGGGCTTCAAATTTTGTTTTGAAATTAATCCTCTGTTGTGCATTATTGTGCAGGTCTTTGTTCTCTCTCTTTCTCGTGGTTGTTCGCTGGTCTCCCTGGCGCATTCCTCCCGCTTGAACTCTACTTGTACTCTCTCTATTGCCGGCGCAACTCGTTCTTCCTTTTCCATGTCTTTGCTTCTCTTCCGCTGCGCAGCTTTGTCCTTCTCCTGCGTTTCTTGATCGATTCGTTGCTTGATTTTCTTTGTTTTGTTCTGTGTGATTTCTTTTTTTTTTTTTTTTTTTTTTTTTTTTTTTTTTTCCTTATTGTCGAGTCCTGTGCTACGCTACGAAGTCATCTCTATACCTACACCCGTACGTCGCTTCTGCAGCTTCTGGTCAAAGGCAACGAGATATGGCTCCAAATACGCAACGTCCCCCCAATATCTTCGAAGACGCTCCTCGTTCTCCCACCAAACCATCCGTGATTCGAGCCATCCTATCCGCCAAAGCACACAAGAGAAACCTCTCCGCGGATGAGGCGATCGCCCCCAAGCCCTTCAATCGAAACAAACCCCTCAACAACTCTTTCGAATCCTCAGTCGATGGACAGAATCAACACTATCAGCAGCCCTTGTCAGAAATAACCGCCAATCGTGACGCGGGTGATGGGCCTCCCAAGTCGCCCACCAAGTCTGACGGGATCGGTCTGCACAAGAAGACAAAGAGTGTCGTCTCGCTAAAATCGCTGATAAGCTATATGGAGCGGAAGGACAATAAAACAGAGGACTTACCGGATGAGGAATCACAGGAGTGGAAGCCCAAAAAGGCCAAGTCCGCCAACAGCATAACAGCCATCCTGAAACGTTCCCAGCGGGGCCGCAAGAATTCCACCGCCTCCTCCAAGGACAATAAAGAGAACCGGAGCCCAAGCGATAGTTTGCCGTCGCCCGTTTGGACGCAGTACACCGCACGGTCTTCACTCGAACAACCCGCACCTCGACGGTCGCAAGACACACGGCGAACGTTGCACGACGAAGTCTCTCTGTACACCCCAAGAGGCTACGGACCCCAAGAACAACGAAATTTCTACGACTTCCATCAACCGTCCTTGACGAAACGCACCGAACCAAAACCCCGTCCCAAGTCGGAGATTCTAACGGGAAACCGTAAGATGAAGGAAGTACTCAACGCCATGCGTACCCCATCTGACAACGCGTGTCCCACCGACGCGCCAGAGCCTTCATCACCAACCAAGCCCCAAGGACGGCCTCGAAGGTTCTCGCGACCACGGTCGCGTTCTCGTTCCCGTTCTGGGATTGAGCAGAAGCCGGAACAGAAGCCGGAACAGAAGCCGGAGTCCAATCCCCAAAAAGTTTCCCGCGTACAAGCAGCGATATCAGCTTTCAATGCCAAAGAGCAGGGTGCAGATTTACATCGAATGAGCGTCAAAGAGCTTGAAAGCGAGTTCGAAAAGCTCTTGGTCAGTCCAGACACCGCCCTGTTTCAGGAAAAGGACAAACTAACTTAGAGTTGCAGGACGCACGCAACACCCCCCATAACATGAGGGATAAGATGCGGTCGTTGGATACAAATATCAAGATAGATTTTATCCAGAAGGACCGCAGCGAAAGTGCAACGCCGTCCAGTGCCAATCCCGGTACGGACACGACGGACAGCAGTCGCCGAGGTCGCAAGAAGGAACAGAAAGACGACCAAAGTCGGGATGGCAAGTCGCGCTCGCGATCAAGAAGCCGCGGCTGGAGCTTCAAGGGCAGCATTTCGCCGACAAAGAAACGATCCGGGAGTGGAAGCTCCCACCGGCGTCCCAAGTCGGCTGATTTCTCGCAGCCCGCAACACTGGCGAATATCTTGACGCCGACGACTTCGGTGACATCGCTTGCCATGACGGCAAATCACGATACTGCCATTGATCCCTCTGACTTCGTGCACTATCTGAGAGAGATCCAGAAGCCAGAAATGGTGGAGGTTGGAAAGGTGCATAAACTTCGCCTTTTATTACGGAACGAAACAATCACTTGGGTGGACACCTTCATTGCAGATGGGGGTATGGATGAAATAGTCCAACTGCTTTACCGGATTATGAAAGTAGAATGGAGGTATGTGCTTGTCTCTTTCGCTTTTTCTCTTGTCCGTCTCACAAAACTGACCCTTCCAACAGAGAGGAGCATGAAGACAATCTCTTGCACGAGACTCTGCTCTGTATGAAAGCCCTCTGCACAACTTCTGTAGCGTTGAAACGCCTCACCGAAATCGAGAGTGAGCTCTTTCCAGCATTGCTGAAAATGCTCTTCGACGAGGAGAAGAAGGGGCCAAGCGAGTTCACCACTCGTCAGGTCATCATCAACCTCCTATTTACGCAACTTGACACGGCCAGCTCCAACGACGATGCAACTACTCGTGCCTCACGGCTTCTGTCCTACTTGCGTGATCCTACACCACCCGAAGAGAACCAACCCCTGAATTTCATTGCGAACATCTACCAGTCTCGTCCGTATAGAATCTGGTGCAAGGAAGTAACCAATGTTGCCAAAGAGGTATTCTGGATCTTCCTGCATCACTTGAACGTGATCCCTATCGTGAAATCCGATGACACAACTTCAGCCTATCGAGAGCGCCATTTCCCTGTACCTAGGCCACCAGTACCAGCGGCGCCCTATGTGGGTGGAGTGGAATGGGATGCCACCAACTACCTGGCTGCACACCTAGACCTCCTCAACGGTCTCATTGCATCGATGCCAACCAGGGAAGAACGCAACAATCTGCGCGACGAGCTCCGAGCTTCCGGCTTCGAGAAGGTCATGGGTGGCAGTCTACGGACATGCAAAGAGAAATTCTATTCGTCCATCCATGACTGTTTGCGCACTTGGATATCGGCCGCCATGGAAGATGAATGGCCATACACCTTTATCCGCGAGGGACCACCTCGACCAGAACCCTCCAAATCACCAATCAAGACTACTGGCGGTAGCCCTAGTAAGGGTATCATCGCCGAAAAGCCACCACAGTTGGAGCTGCCGCTCCCTTTGCCCGTTGGCAACAACAATGACAACCGCCGATTCTCGCCCAAGGGTGATATCAACAATTGGCTTTAACTTGCATATCTGATTGAGACTCCTCTTTCTATCTATCTTTATTTCTTTCACTCCTTTCTGTCGTTTTCTTGTTTGGTCTGGTTGCCAAACTCTTCATGCATCATAAACGACCATGCAGTCATGACTTGGCGTTCCAGCGATTACCCACCATTCCATTCGTTCTTTTATCTTTCTTGTTCATTCGTTTGCAACATTACCTCACATATTGGAGTCCTTGGGACATTGGGCGTTAGCATATTCCGGGTGTTTTTCGGCGCATCTAAATTGGATAACAATCGTGGAGATTGGTCTAATGAAGCAACAGGGCTTAAAGCTGATGAGTCTTCGCATATCTCCAGTGCTCGTTTGCAATTGTTCTGCTTCTTGTCTTGTCATTTTGTTATCTTTTGGATACAAACATATTGTAGCTCAGATCGGTCTTTCATGAATGAGAATTGGACTCATTTCCCTCGTTTCCGGGGCTAAGACTAGTTTGGTCTCGATTGAACATGTTTATGTGTGGTCTATCTATTGTACAGTATAGTTACTCCCTATGCTAGGATAGTGATTTTGACAGCAATATCAATCACACGCCTTATTCTCTGTCTGATGTCTTCACAGAACCCGCGGGCGGAGGGGCCGAAAACACGGCCTTGACACCGGCAAAAAAAGTGTCTCGAAGCTATCAAAGATATCCATCAGTCATGCCACCACAACACACACGCGATGTACTAAATGAGTGTACTCACCTCATCAAGCGGGCTCCCCTTAATATCCCACTGCATAAACAAAAGCGCATACACAAGCGTAACTAACCCTCGTCAGCACAATCCCCTAACCAAACCAACTCATCATATTTATATTAATATAAGAACCAAAAACTCACATCCAATAATCCCCCACTGCACCAACTTCGTCCCCTTGGTCCACTTCGGCCTCGCGAACTTCAGTGCCGCGCGCCGGCGGTACTTTCGCTCAAGACGGAACTGGTGTTTCTGTGAGAGCTTGCTCATGTCCGGTGGCCATTGGCGTTTTGGTTTGTATTGCGCGTAGCGGGAGAGGGGGTCTGAGGGGTCGAGGTCTTGTTCGAGGTCGTGGGCATCGTTGGGGTTGGTGGTGTGGTTGGTGTTGGAGGAGAGGCGGAAGGGAGAGGAGGCGGTTATGGAGGTTTGGGAGAAGGGTCGAGAGGGGGTTTTGGGGGGGTTCTAAGTAGGATGGGTGTTAGTTGGGGGGTTAGGTTGGTTCGCGAAAGGGTTAATGAGGGCGTACATGAGGGAGTCTGTGGTTGAGCCATGGTGATAATGTTGGTGGTGTTGATGTGGCGACGAATCGAGATGGCAGGGCAGTCGTTGTTGCCATCATTAATCTGCGCAAGAGAATATTTGAATTCATTTTTGGGTCGTGGCAGATTTGTAGCGCTGGAGTACAGAGTATGTCTGAAAGTTTTTGTGATATGCGGAGAGTCGGAGGTTTTACTTGCCCACTGACCTGCAGTCGAGCCATATACTACGGATTACACAGTTCTACTAACTAAAGAACAAATGGAGCAATCAATTCCTCGCGCTCTACCATATTAAATCCATATCCGGCTTCTAAAGACACATGGTCTATGCGAACTTCATCAATTCACATGATATCGGCTGAAATCCCGTGACTTAATCTCGGAACAACGATGATGCGCGGACCTCGGCATTTTCACAGGAATGGCATACAAATGGCAACATGACCGAGACCGACCAGCTTATAAGTACAAGATCTCATCCCGGGGTTTCACAGGTTTGTTCTTTTTATTCTCCCCAGTGATTCTCCATTTTATCAGCGTTGTTCTTTTTCATTTGATTTCTCCAAGTTATATATACCCAGATCTCTATACATTGACGTCATGTCTTCTGGTAAGTAATTCATCTCAAGATGCGATCATTTGTCTCGCCCCTGAACTATATCTAACCTTCTCTAGCCCAGCAACGCCTGACCCAAGTCTCCTCCCACTTCGGTGGCAAGAAGGGAGCCGCCGCCCTCACCGAGAAGCACCCCGATGATATCGTCGTAACATGCGCTCTGCGCTCTGCCATCACCAAGGGCGGCAAGGGCGGTTTCAAGGACACTGCGGCCGCTGACCTGCTGGCCGGTGTTTTCAAGGCCGTCATCGAGCGCAGCGGCATTGACCCCAAGCTCGTTAACGATGTGGCAGTTGGCTCTGTCCTTCCCCCTGGTGGCGGTGCCACCGAGTTCCGTGCTGCGTCGCTTGTTGCTGGATTCCCCGAGTCGACTGCTGTCCGGAGTTTGAACAGACAGTGCTCGAGTGGCTTGCAGGCTGTCGTTGATATTGCGAATGCGCTGAAGACGGGTATGATTGATGTTGGTATTGGTGCTGGTGTGGAGAGCATGAGCTCTCAATATGGGTATGTTTACTTTGCGTTGCGGGTTAGTTCAAAGTACTGACAATGTGATAGTCCCGGTGCCGTGACCGAATTCTCCGACCTTCTCGAGAACCACATGGAGGCTGCCAATTGCAAGGTCCCCATGGGTGTCCTTTCTGAGCAGATGGCTAAGGAGCGCAACATTACTCGTACCTCCCAGGACGCTTTCGCCGCTCATTCGTACCAGAAGGCCATCGAGGCTCAGAAGGCCGGTCTCTTCAACGAAGAGATTGTTCCCCTTGATGTCAAGTGGACAGACCCCAAGTCCGGCGAGGAAAAGACCATCACCGTCAAGGCCGACGATGGTGTCCGCCAGGGCATCACCGCTGAGTCTCTCGGCAAGATCCGCCCTGCCTTCGCCAAGGACGGCTCCATCCACGCCGGTAACGCCTCTCAGATCTCCGACGGTGCCGCCGCCGTCCTGCTCATGAAGCGGTCCACCGCTGAGCGTCTGGGCCAGAAGATCATTGGCAAGTACGTCGCTGCCTCTGTTGTCGGTGTCCCGCCTCTTCTGATGGGTGTTGGTCCCTGGAAGGCCATCCCTGTTGCCTTGGAGAAGGCCGGCATCACCAAGGATGATGTGGACATCTTCGAGATCAACGAGGCCTTCGCCTCGCAGTGTGTGTGGTGTGCCAACGAGTTGGGCATTCCTCAAGAGAAAGTCAACCCCAAGGGTGGTGCCATTGCTTTCGGCCACCCGTTGGGTTGCACCGGATCTCGCCAGGTCAGCACGCTCTTGACGGAGCTGAAGCGCACCAACAAGAAGATTGGTGTTTCTAGCATGTGTGTTGGTACTGGTATGGGTATGGCTGCCGTTTGGGTTTCCGAGTAAACGTTAGGCGTTTGACTTTAGGGTTGTTTTCTGTTCACTGTACAGCTTTCTTTCTTCCTTTGTTTTCTCTATGTACTTGATATCCGCTACAATACCACTGTTACACAATGGCACATATTGAATGAGACTTTATCCAAATTGATATACATGCGACATTTCCAAACCAAATATCGCAGTCTAAAGCTTGGTCCTAAACTTCTTGAAAGCATCATTAACCGTCTCTCCCTGCAACACCGCCTCTTTAACCTTATCATCCATAGCAACCAACTTTGGCATAACCTCCAACACCTGATCCAACAACCCACGCGGAATAGCCACAACCCCTTCCAACGGATCACAAAAGACAATGTCACCCTATCCTCGTTAGCTCTCACTACCGCAAACATCATGCCACGCAAAACATACCGGGCTCACAGTAACACCCCCAACATCAACCGGCACATTCCTCAACCCCGGCTTCGCCTCCGCCCCACTCCCCACCGTCGACATCCCCTGCGCCCAAACCGGCAACCCACACCCCGTAATCTCACCCAAATCCCTAACGCGCCCGTTCACAACCGCACCCTTCACACCGAGGTACTTCATCCGCACGGCCATGATACCGCCCAGGACAGCGCAGTGCTGGGACGGGGGTTGGTCGATGATGGCGATTGTGTTGGGTTCGGCGTGGTCGACCCAGTGGGTATTACTGGGGAAGTTGTGTTTGGGGGAGGACATTAGGCGGGCTACTTCTGGGGGGAAGGTGGTGGTTGTTTTGGGGATGAATTTGAAGGTTCTTGCGGGGGCGATTATTTTGGGGGAGGTGGTGTTGCGGCCGAGGGTAGGGGAGAAGGGGGCTTTTTGAGATTCGGGATTAGCTATGAATTGGTTTATGGGGTTGGATGCTGTATTGTAGGCTTACTGAAATCGGCGAGATGGCCGGCTCGTGGTGTAGCGCCTTCCGGGAGCTTCTGGATTTTGAGGAGAGCATCTGATACCTAGAGATTGTTAGCTACTAATCTAAGCGTTGAATTATGGCTCATGGCAAACTTACATCACAAGCAGAGTAATCCTGCATTGTCTTGATCTTCTGCTCAATCGAGGCCATGGTGCGGCGTGTTCCTGGAGTAAAACGGGGCGTGTGGATCGCTGTGAAAGTCCGGGGTGAGATACAAGATAGTCTGACTCTGGAAGCGAATCTTGGGAGATATTCCATGAGTAATTGATGCCAGAGGAGGTTGTTTCACAGGAGGAAGAAGTGGTGGTGGAGGGATGTACAGTGGTATGTCCGCTGGTCCGTCGGTCGGTTGAAATCGGTTGACTTTATATCGTGAGGGAATCTCAATGGGTGTTTGGATTTCGCAGGAATTATACTAAAACTAATTGATGTCTATTCTTTAGATCAAGGCTCTATTCTGGCCCTCAATTCATCTGTCGACTAGTGAACTGATTGATTTGATTGATAAGTGTCGACTACGTCTTTCCCTACGTCATATGCTAGAGATACTCCGAGATGCCGAGGTATAGAATGCATCACAGATCCCATACCCGCTTACAGGAGCTAGTAAGCAAATTCCTGACCAACAAGCTTCTCACTCAAGTTCCATAGCTTCTTTGCTTCAAGGCTGCTAGTTGCCCACGGCTTGATCGTGTCCGAGAGAGGATCACCGATGCGACAGTCGATCAGATAGGAGCCGTTGTGCGCTATACACAATTAGTTCATCCAGTCAGAGAATGATTATGAATAAATATCATACCCTTCAATCTCGGATCAAATGCAGCATAAACATGAGTTGCCACGCCCTGGTCTAGTGACTTGGCCTTGAATTCTCCCCATCCTTCCCGATTTCCCAGGGTTTTGTCAGCGGCACCTATAGTTAGTTAGTTACCATTTAGCGCTAGTAAGCACCGATGAATGGCTTAACACTTACGCAGTCCATCAAAACCAGTATCCATATCCAAATGGTCAGCTAGGTTTGTCCAGATTACGCCGGGATGGAGGCTAAAGGTGAGGAGATTGTGTTTGGTTCCCAGCTTCTCAGCTAGCGAGATGGCCATCAACATGTTGGCAGTTTTTGATTGGCCATAGGCATACCATTTATTGTGCGTCTTTCCGCTGTCGAAATTGTAGTCATCGAAACGGATCGGATTGAGACGATGTCCATCACTGCTCACCATGACAACCCGGGGATTTTGCGAAGCCAATACCTTGCTCATGATCAAATTGGTAAATAGGAATGGACCGAGGTGGTTCGTTGCCAGCTGGGATTCAAAGCCATCCTCTGAGATTTGGTAATCCGGGGCCATAATACCAGCATTGTTGACCAGCACATCGATAATGGGTATATCGTTCCAAGACTTGACCTTTTCAGCTGCTTCACAGACACTTTTGAAGGATCCGAGATCCAGCTGGAGGGTCCGGATCTTGACCTCTGGTTCTGCAGCGATGATTTCTTGAGATGTTTGCTGGGCTTTGGATGGGTTGCGAGCAGCGAGGATGAGGTATGATGGTTTTGCTTTGGCGATGGCTTGGACGAAGAATCCGCCTAGTGAGTTGGGAGAGACGCCGGTTGTTAGGACGACTTTGTCCTTGATGAGGCTGGCGTAGTCGTTGACCAGCTGGGTGGCGGTGGTGTCTGCATTATATGGGGTCATGGTGATTCGCAAATAAAGCTAAGCACGAAAAGGACAATAGGGATTGTTGGAACTCGAACGGTTTAAGTACCCGTGACAGTCCCTGGTCGGTCACTGCATCATCGTACTTGCGTGCTTCTTGATAGAATTCATCCGACCCGCAAAGAAAGAGTTCTTTTGTTTGCTTTGTGAACGCATCTAATCCTCATTGAGGGAGGTCTTGGTCTAGACCCAACACTAGCAGCTTAGTTGCAGGACCTCGTCAATCTAATTTGGTTACGAAAAATAAGATAGACAAGAACGACACGGAGTATATGGAGATTACGGAGATTATGGAGATAGGGGACATGTAGTACTACTTATTTGTGAGGTAAAGGGTTCTTCTTGAAATCATTATTAATGCCTCGATATATACTGACATCAAGTGCTAAGTATTATTATTATTAATTCTATACTCCCCCTCACCCTAGCGGTATGGGGTGCTGCTGCTAAATACAAAAAGGGGAAAACCTTAGCGTCGCTAGGCGAGCGCCTGGATGAAAAACCCCTGCTCCTTCATTGTATCTCACTGTCGCCTGGATGTCCTCCGGTACCATTGTAACGATGCCTGCCTGAGCAGGGATTACTGTGTGTTTGATCATGTCACTATTTCTGCAACTCATATTCCACCTCATTCGCTTCCAACTCCTTGGCGAGCCGGAATTGATGTAGCAGGCCCAGTTTCAACCACCAACTGGAAACCAGGGCTCCTCCCTCTGGGGAGGAAAGCAACCATTTGCTGTCAACCCGACCACCAGACTCTAGGACCCTCCTCTGTACTGTACACCTTGGGCAGTGGACCAGGTTGTGTTTGACAGTTTCACAGTAGTATCCACAAGCGCAGGCTGGGGAGCTATACCCAGATACGCCACGTCTGTGTAGGAATCCTGTCAGTCCAGTCTTTCTTGTACGGAGCTGTATCAGAATGAAACAATGTGCTCGTGAGAGCCATTGATATAATTGGAGGTTAATTCATTCTGGTGGCCTGGAGTGCATCTCACTCCAAGGTTCTGGACGTGCTTGCCACCGCTCCTTCCACCAGTGAAGTATTGCCCGCCTGAGGCGTTGTGGAGTGGCTGCAGGTTGTCCTTCAGGGAGGACTGCATTTGCTGGGCCCGTCCAATGTATGATCCAGGTTGGGTCTACCGGTACAGGTTGTATGACATGGTCCAGGGGCTGTCTCCTATTCTGTCCCCAGCGCAAGAGCTTCCACCATATTCCCCGGCATGCATGCTCAATCTTTTTGTCCATGCCTGTGTCAGCCAGACGTTGTCTTGCACATGCAACACAAGCATTGAGGTATAGATCCAAGGGAGGGGTGAATGTTTCTGTCTCCAAGGTGGAGACTGATGCTGCCCGGTAGGAACCAGCAATGAGATGCAGACATTGGTTCTGAATTGGTACCAGTATCCCAGCCCTTCCACCAACCTGCATCCGCCCTGTCCCCCTGTCCGGCTGATGCCAGGCCAAAGCACCATATGCAATGACTGGCCGTATGACCATGTTGTATACCATGCGTGCCTGGGTGAGAGGAAGCCCCCATGTAGATGTTGCTGTTGCCTTGAGTGGACGCAGCTGTGTTTTTAGTCGGCCTGCAACAGCATCCAGGTGTCCCTTCCAGCGTAGCCCTGGGTCCAGCCACACCCCCAAAACTCTCATTACCCGCGTTGGTTGGACAGATCTGTTTCCAATTTGTACAGCTGCCTCCATATTGAAGCGTCGTCGCCATGTAAAGTGCATGAGCTCATATTTCTCTGGGGAAAACTGTGCTCCATGTCGCCGGGCCCAATCCAAGCAGAGTCCATGAGCAGTTTCCAACTGTTGACAGTTCTCCTCTGTTGATAAGCCATAGGAAATGAGATTCATGTCATCAACAAACCCAATGCAGCTAACTTTCAAGTCCAAGCTATTGCAGGTCTCAATGAGCTCTGCATTATAGAACAGGAACAGGATAGGTGATATTGGTAAACCCTGGGGGATGCCTGCTGGTATGTTAAGTGGAGCAGATTCCTGGACCTCTAGGAATTCCCTTGGCTTGTAGGATGTGGATTAACCGTGCCTTTGCCACTCTGTCAAACGCTCCAGAAATGTCAAGTGACAATACAGAGGCAACTGAATCTGGCTCTTCCCAGACTGTCCGGATCTGGCTAAGGAGGAGGGAGACAGCTGTCTATGTGGAGCGTCCTGTCCGGGCGCCCATCTGTTGTTCTGGTAGCAACCCATGACGCTCTGCTATGCTCCGTACACGGCCTGCTGTTACAGCCTCTACCACCTTTCCCAGTGTCTCCAGAAGTGCGATTGGTCGCCATGCCCCTGGATTCTGATAGTCTGTCTTACCTGGTTTTCTGAGTACTACCGTCCGAATTGTCTTGAACACCTTTGGGAAGTACTCCCAGTCCCAGCAGCCTTGTGTGAGTGCTGCCAGTGCAGCTCCAAGGGTCGGCCTAACAGTTTCAAATACTCATTTGGGACCCCTGAGGCCCCTGATGCTTTCCCTGTTGGCAAGTATGCTATAACTGCCACTACTTCCTCTGTTGTGACTGGTTTCACATCCTCCACCTCCGATGGATATGGTCCATGAGCATCTGATAGATCTGTCTCTGCTGGGGAGGGAAAGAAACGTGCGTGGAATGACTCCACCTTATCTTCAAAAGACACTGCGAGGCCATCCATGTGTGTGGCTGGACGCAGACTTGGTACTGTAGGGGTGCGGAGTGGCAAATGACTGTGATCCTTGCCCCATTGGGCCATCTTCCAGAGTAGTTTTGGGTCTCCTGCTGCTTGTCGCATGAAGTGTCAAAAGTTAGCCACCTTTGCTCGTTTGACAGTGAAGTTCCGGGCCCTGCGTCTCAACCAGTTGTGTGTCAGACACTCCACTTCGCAGCAGGGACTTGTATGAGGATATTGGTTCAGCCACTGTTGGTGACCACCATGATTTTCCTTGTGTATTCTGGCGGACCCTCTTCCCCAGGTGATATGCTGAGTTGGTGACATACTGCAACAGGTACTCTGCATAGGACTCCACCTCTTCCCATGAGGCGAACTGACGTGGAATATGCAGCCCCTGTCCTTCTTGTGCAGCCTGGCTTGGGTCTGTTTCCTTCCAAGACCACCGATACTGGGTGTACTGTGGAGAACTCCATTCAAGTACTGTCTCCAATGCGGTATGGTCTTCCACCTCATCTTTGTTGTCTATAGGTCGGCATAGCACAAGGCAGTCAAACAATCCAGGGGAGAGGAATGTTAGATCTATGGTTGTGCCCTCGCTCCGGCGGTTCTTCCAAGTTACTGCCCCCACCGGTGTGGCAAGCCTTAGGTTCATACCATCAACCACCTGGATAAGTTGGTGTGCTGCTTGGTCATTCCGTTGCACACGTTGGCTGCCCCACCTTGAGTGGTGCAGGTTAAAGTCCCCAACCAGTATAGTCTCGCTTCTTGGATCCCAGACCTCTGGAAGCATGCCTATCTCTGTCCTTGGTGCCGCATCATTCTGAGGCCCACTTGGTACAGATGAATATATGTTGATGACTTGTACAGGCCCTTCTTCTGTTTGAAGCATCAGGGACATGAGGTCTGGGGTGTGATAGGATGCCGCCCACTTGTGTGTTGGGATTCGTTTGCTGACAAGCAAGGCCACCCTTGAATTTCTCTCTTTCTGCTCATAAACCGGCCAAAAACCACATCGACTCGGGCAGTGCGTACCTCCAGTCTGCAAGTGCTAAGTATATTAGTATATATATGTTAATCGGTGGACGGTTGAACCACAGGAATCTAGGAAGCAATTATATATATGACAGCTGATGTTTGATATCCTGGACTAGACCCCTACAATTTCCATGTTATTGTAACAGTTGAATTAAGACATCATTTAATGTCGGTCTGGTGTATGAATTCGCGAAAAATGTCTTCTATGCATGTATGAATCGCCGATATGTAGATATCCAAATGCGGGGGAGCTTGTTAACCGATACAAAAAATCCGGGGATGGCATCTACGGGGCGTATGGGGTCGATACCTCGATTTTCCCTAAATAACAATTAATGCCAATCCACTCTGTGTCTATATTTATACTGCAATGCCTATCTTGGCTTGGGCCTGGTGCCAATTTGTCATCCTAATACAGAGGACCCCACCACTCAGATTTTGATTCAATTGCCGTGCCTTGATATCTGACCACTATACCCATCATCTAATAAACACATATACAACACGGAGGTCATTATCAAAATGTCCTCCCAAGAACCAGTCTATACGAATGACCAGCTCGAACATTACCTACAGCGAATCAATTACGCTGACTCCGCCCACCCCCGGCTCCCACATCTCCACGAAGCCATTCGAAACGCTCCCCTGGAAGCTCTAGCCGAATTGCAAAGACGCCATCTCTGCTCCATACCATGGGGAAATTCGTCCCTGCACTACTCCCAGCACCGGTGCATCTCAGTGCATCCCCAGGCGGTCTATGAGAAATTGGTCCTCCGTCGCTTGGACGGGTATTGTATGGAGACGACGAATCTGTTCTACGGCACCCTGCGGTCTTTGGGATATCAGGTGTATCCCACGGCTGGGAGGGTGAGTCGTCAACTGATGAATGGGGCTGAGGATGTGTTGTTTACGGCGTTGTAAGTTTTCGTACCTTGGTATTCAAGATCAAGATGAATTGACAGATTCGGCAGATCACACATGGTGCTCATTGCAACCATTGACGGGGAGAAATATATGGTACGTCTTCCTGAACGAAATGTTTCCGTACGATATACTCAAGATATGCTATAGGTAGATGTTGGTTTTGGGAATGCTTGCGCAACCCGTCCGATCCCTCTTCAAGAAAATATCATCATGCCGTACATCGCACCAGCTGAGATGCGCCTGATCCAAGACAGTCTTGACGAATTCACCGATAAGAGCCAGCGCGTCTGGATCTACCAGGTTCGGTATACGCCGCGAGACTACTGGATCACCAATGTCTGCTTCTCTGAGGCCGAGTTCCTGTCCCAGGATTTCGCCCTGATCAGCTTCTTTACGAGTCAGCATCCGAGTAGCTGGTTTACCCAAACGTTCGTGTGCAATTTAATGATCATGCATGAGAATGAACAGGAAGTGAAAGGGCAGTATGTGATATCGGGGAAAGAGGTCAAAAGAAGAATTAATGGGCAGACAGAAGTTATTGAGACCTTGAATAGCGAGGATGACCGTGTCAGGGCTCTGGCCAAATGGTTCGGGTTGCATCTCCGCAAGGATGAGGTTGAAGGGATCCGGGGCTTGTCATCTGAACTGAAATAGAAGAAGTCGGTTTTGTATTTTGTAGAATAGCTGCGGCAATTGTCCGTGTTGCGGATGATATATTGATACAAACAATTCATAAAGACGGAATTGCCATGATAATCTCTTTCAGAAGTAAAATTGGGAATAACAGCTATAAACACATAAGACGGAGACTCGTAGTTCCCTTAGAAGATCCGTTTCTCGAGCTGCGGCATAATTAGCATGCGTCTTATAGGCCAAACCCAGACCCAATCAATCTCACCTTCCATGGGTTGTTGACTTCGAATCCCTTTGGAGCCACGGCATTGCTGGATTGGCCTCTCAGATTCCCTGTAAGTCTGAGGTCTCTCTCCATCACTGTTGTTTTCGGTGGATTAGCGTCTTCGTTTCGGGGGGGGGGGGAGACTATCATGGAATAAAATCGAGGGTCACCACGTACTTTGCTGTAGGTTGAGAAATCACATATTAGCAAAACCGCAGAAACAAAAAAAGATAAGACTCACTCTGTCCCACAGATCCCTGTTCCACCGCGCCTTCTTTCCGTCATTCGAGAAATACTTGACAGCAGTCAAACCGGCACCGGTGACGCCGAACATCTATCCAGTATTATATCCACGATCAGTCCGTAGGTCCGCATTGTACCGCGATTATGAGGGGCGCACCGTGATGATGATTCCATAAGGAATCAGGGCCTCGAAAGGAACACCCATGGCGAATTGCTGTGATTGACGAGTAACGGAGGAGAAAAAAAAACACTCTTGAAAGCTGGAGTGAACCAGGAATTGCGAGTTTGGAGGGCAGTGAATCGCGGCGAGCAAGAGTTCGGCTTGCAAATCGACTGGACGTCGTTGGAATCCGCCCAGTTCAAGTGAAGTTACTAAAAGCGGCTTAGTGTGTGTCGGGGGTCCAGCCGGCTGAGTCAGCACCCTTCCCCCAGCAACCTCAACGAACAGCAGGAGAAGGAGCGCCTTTGATGCCGCCCGCAGGTCGATTTGGATTACTGGATGGAAGCCACGGCCAGTCTTGCTGCTGCTGTTGCTGCTGCTAATCTACAAAGTCATTATTCGCAGTGGTTGACCCTGTTCAATTTGAGGTGAGTTCCTCCCCGCTCCTTTTCGTGGCGGCCGACGCGCGTGGGTTCACCTCCTCCCCCAACGAAAGACCCGCCGTCAGGACCTCGACTGACACTTTGTCGCGTGCGCCTTGATCAGATCTACCCTAAGCGCGCAACTATACCGAGAAGATCGCCGCTAGGGACGGCTGTATTGAATCAAAGCTATCCTAAGGACCACTCGTTTTCCTTACTCGCTCTCCATGCCCCTTTTCCACACTGCCAGATGACTTCATCCTTTACGACGAATTCCGGATAGCCTCTCGTTTTGGACTTGCTCTACGACGACGACGAATCTTATACTTCTCGAGGCGAACCGTGGCGCGACCATATGCTCAATCTGGCGACTGCAGTGACATCCACCATGCCGGCAACTAGGCCGCCGGCCAACGAGGTTCCGGCGATGGACCCGCCAACCGATGCAATGGACAGCGACCAAGATGCCGAGGGGGAAGAGGAAACAGATTTTTATCACATGGATCAACAACTTCAGAATGCGGTTCATCGCGCATATTCGGGGGAGGCAACAGCCGAGGGTTTAAAAGTCGACGACGACAGGGATGCAGAAGGGGAACCAGATATTGAAGCAATCATGGATGGCGATAACGATGAGACGGAACCCGTTGGTGCTGTGAAGCTGCCTGATGTGGCTGCCCAGTCTTCTGATAACGACGAGGATGCCGATGCCGAGGCTGAAGCCGATCCAGCGTTTGACCATCAGAGTGGTAGTGATAATGACAAATCTGAATCCAGCAGTCAAGCTTCAGACGAAGAGTGGGAAGCAGAAAGCAACGGCCATGAGGATGCGGAGGCGGAAATCTCATCCCGCAGTAATTGCATGTGAGTGCAGTTCCTGCTCCCTCATTTTTTCCCCTTTTGGAACTGTCGCAAAGCGTATGTATGAAGTATATACTGACAATATGTTTTAGCTTCTGTGGCCAAGATGAAGACCATGACCCTAGCGAAGAATATGAAGAGTATCTGACTTGCACGGTTTGCGGTGATCACTGTATGTTTATTTGCGGTCCGGAGAAGATAAAACCTTAGCAAACCCTATTTCCATGGCGCGGTTGCTGACTTGAAATCCCGACAGCTCATCGCCAATGTGCTCGTGAACAGGAAGCGTTACACGAAGGAGATGGTACGTTCGTTCTCTTATTACTTGATACCCTTAAATCTAGATCAGCGCTAACGCTTAAATGTTGTGCAGATGCCAGTCAATGGCGATGTCTTACTTGCACGCGAGAAAACTTGGAACCAGGCGGCCCCGAGAGCAGTGCCCAAAGAAGACTCGCACGAAAGAACATGTCCAAAGAGCTTCTGCCAGCACATATTGGAGAAGAAGGCTCTGGTTTTCATTCTATTTTCAATACGTTGTCTGTCGACGAAAGTTTGTTGAGTAGCTCACGATCACTGCGAAAAAGAAAGACACTGTCAGTCGAGGCTGAAGAACACACGCCCGTACTTCGAAAACGTTCACGGCAAACATCGCTCCGCTCTGAGCGTGCAGCCTCGAGGGATCAAGAATTTGAGAGCACTGAGGCGACAGGTGATGGTGCCACTGACGAATCGCCCGTTCGGACGCGATCACGGCGAGGACGCCCAGTGACGAAAGAACAATGCCATGTGGTATCGAAACAATTCGAAAAGCTCGTCGTTAGTTTCAATCTTCCGCCAAACAAGCTCTCCAAAGCCATTAGCTCCCGACAGCGGTCACGTACCCGGGTCAGAAGAACTCCAAAGCCGCCGCCCGTCGCACAGGAACCCCAGGCTCATTTTGCCCCTATCACAACCACCACACCTTACATTTCCCCATTCTACTCTTTTAATGATCGTGAGACGGATGAATCAAAAACGAAACCGTATGGTGGTATATTGTCTGAAGCTGATGCGGATACCACCAAGACTCTTCCGGCACAACTTGATCGAGAACGATTTGAGGTAGCTCGACAGAAGGCTGAAGAAGAATGGCAAAGGAGGATGAAAGAAGCTGAGGATAACGGGGAAGCTGTTCAAAGTGCCTCGCAGAAGGTTTCTGGTCCTCCATCCAAAATCAAATACATTAATTTTGGCGGCTACGAGATTGAGACCTGGTACGCGGCACCATATCCAGAAGAATACAGTCGCAACCGAGTGCTGTATATTTGTGAGTTCTGCCTGAAATACATGAACTCGGATTTTGTCGCGTGGCGTCACCGGCTCAAGTGTCCCGCGAAGCACCCACCAGGCGATGAAATCTATCGCGAAAGCTCCATCTCGATCTTCGAAGTTGACGGACGAAAACATCCGGTCTATTGCCAAAACCTTTGCTTGCTAGCCAAGTTGTTTTTGGGCTCCAAGACACTCTATTATGATGTTGAGCCATTCTTATTCTACGTCATGACGGAATTCGACGACTTGGGCTGTCACTTTGTCGGTTATTTCAGCAAAGAAAAACGGCCCAGCTCGGCAAATAACGTTTCTTGTATTCTCACATTGCCTATTCACCAGCGAAAGGGCTATGGGAATCTCCTTATCGACTTCTCTTATCTCCTTACCCGCATTGAAGGCAAGACCGGCTCCCCAGAAAAACCACTTTCTGACATGGGTTTGGTATCTTATCGAAACTACTGGCGACTGATATTATCATATCACCTCCGTGATCAGAAGGGTACGCTTAGCGTTGCGGATCTCTCAGAGCGGACAGGAATGACCGCCGACGATATTGTGTCTGGGTTGGAAGGATTGCGTGCGCTTGTCAGAGATCCTATTACCAAGACTTATGCATTACGTCTTGACTACAAATATTTCAATGAATGTGTACGGAACTGGGAGAGCAAAGGCTACATCCAGCTCAATCCGGATGCACTGGTCTGGACACCGTATACTATGGGCCGAAGCAACCAGTCACATTTCGATCGTGCTCCATTGCACGCCGTCGCTCCACGAGAAGGCCTGGAAGATGAAGGTGAGGCAGGAGCATCGTCAGTCAATGATGAGAATTCAGATGGTTCCATCCCGGCAGCGAATGGAGTTGGCGATGAGACCGCGTCAGCAAGCTTCCTATCTAGTGCTAACGGTCTCCACCCGCCATCTACTGCCGCTGGTGGTTCAAGTACTCCCGCGGAGACGACAACAGAGAATAACCCTGCTGCGGGAATACCGCCATCGCGGTTTGAGATCTGGCCCCCTATCCAGGCGCCCGTGTTCAAACGACGCCCTGGTCGACCGTTTGGCAGCAAGAACACGTACAACCGTGGTTACTCTATCACTCCAACAACGGCTCGAACAGTTGGTCGTGGCACGCCTAGGAAAGCAAGCACGTTGACGTCGGAAACTCCAACGGTTAACCCGTCGAGTGTCCGTCGCGGTCGTAGCGCAATTCTCGTGGATTCTCCTGCAGCGGAATCGACAGTCGCCAAGGCCAACGGGGATGAGGTAGACCAACAACAGCCAGCGGAGGAAACAGTCATCGAAGGACAGCAAGAAGCTGGTTCTCTTCCAGATGCACCACCAGAAACGAAGACGGAGGACTTTAATCATGCCGAAGGTGGTGAAGAGCCGACTGGGACCAATGGCACCAACCATGCAGATACCTCCGTGGAGATTGCAAAGACGCCTGAGGCTAACCCTCCAGAGACTCCCAGGGGAAGGAGCTCGGAGTCCAAGTCCAAACCGCCTAGATCGGGTAATCGGAAACCAGCCTTCTTGGAGAAGGTTTCGGTCGTTATTTCTGCGGAGAAGCCCAATGTCTCGGGTGAAAACAAAGCAAATGGCACCGACATCGATGGAAATGCGTGATGTGGTAATGTGGCGATGCGATTCCCTATGTACTAGAGGGAAATAGAGAGGATGAAGAAAAGCAAGACAGAACACCGGTCCCATTCCGGCGACGCATTTTAACAGGGCGTTATAGCGTTATTTCTGCAGGACGTTGTCTTCTTTTCTTTCTCTTCCTTGATGGGATAAATGTCGTCTTTTGAACTCGTCTTCTTTTTTGGGCTTTTACATTGTCATTATATCGAGCAAGGAGTGGGCAGGGAATCTGGAGTTTGGCTATTCATCATTTGCGTCTCGTCATGCATTGTTTTCTTGGATTTTTTCGACTCGATATTATGTTTTGGTCAGTGCATCAGTACGTTTATCTCGTTTTCGTTCCTTCGTATAGAAGGTTTGGTTTGGTTTGTTGTTCTTGTTGCTATTATGCCATGGTTAAGAATGCTTTGTCTCTTCCAGGACAGGTTTTATCTTTCCATCCGCAGGTTCTATTTTGATTCTTCTTCATGTATGTAATGTAGCCAGAGAGACGTTATATAATTGGGGCTTTCGAATGTTGAGAGTGAGAACAAATATATCTGCACTGTTTGAGTAAATTTCCCAGCATATGTTGACATCTTACGATATATTCTGGTTTAAATTGGTAGGTAGCTATTCAATAGTCTGTATGACTGCGTCTAGACGAGTTGCAAGGCCTTAGATTGAAATTGTATGTAGGGTTCAGATGATGGAGTTGGTGGTAACTAGCATAATAGCTTAGCTTATATGACAAACAGGGCGAATATAAATAAAAATTGGGCGTGTAACTCAGTGGTAGAGTGTTCGCTTTGCATTTGTATGAACATGCGAAAAGTCCGGCGTTCGATCCGCCGCTCGTCCATTTCTTTTTTTTGTCTTTTTTTTTTTTTTTTTTTTTTTTTTTTTT